GGGCTTTCTTCCAGGACCCGCGGGCCCTGCGCCGTTTCCAGGCCCCAGCAGCAGCCCCTGCCCCATCCCCAAGCTGCAGGCGGCAACCCCGGGATGGTAGAGACCACAGGGGCCACAGCCATGGCTCAGGGCAGCCAGGGGAGCATCAGGAAGGACGGCTTTTTAAATTGAGAAGCTGGGCACATCCGTGCACCTGTAGTCCCAGCCACTCAGGGGTCGCGGTGTTTTAGGAGCTGCATTCCTGTCAGCCTTTCAGCTTCTTGGATTGAACTCGATAGAAAAATAAGTGCTCAAGTTCCATGCCCTCCTCCCCTCTTACTAGCCCAGCCCAGTTATAACTTCCTTCCTCTTCCAGGGTCAAATGCCTTTGCCCAGGCCCTGCTCATTAGGGCAGGCCTGCAGAATCTGCCCAGTTCTAGGGGTGCCCAGGCCCCCAGGACGCTCAGTCTTGAGCTGGACCAAGGCCAGGAGGACCGGCCTTCGTCCTTGGAACCCTCCACTTCCTGCAGCCTGCAGCTTCGGCAGAGGCCTGGCCAGAGGACGCCGACAGCTGGGACATGCCTGGCAGCAGGTGTCACTCCTGGCCGTGGCTCACCGGAGGGTCACTGTGGCTCCAGACCCTGAGCACCCAGGATGTCCCACCTCTACTGCCCTTGGCTTGGGAGGCCTGCCTTGCCCACTCGGGGCCTGCAGGGTGGCTTGTTCCCCTGTTGCTGCCCCTGGGGGGCCCCCATTCCACGGCCCAGTAAAACACAGAGCAGGAGGAGATGCCTTTGTGACCATGGACACCGGCGTCTAGTGGCCTGTCTTCAGCTCACCTATGAGTGGAACCTGTGCCAAATGCCAGGACTTTACCTTCTTTTTTTCTTTTCTTTCTTTTTTGTTTGTTTGTACCTGGGATCGAACTCGGGACCTTGCGCTTGTGAGGTAGGTGCAGCACCTCTGTGCTAAATCCCCAGCCCTGCCAGGACTTTAACTGTCACATTTTAGGATTTCTCTCAGTGGCCTGGAGCCACCTAAAGGCAGATGGGTTCCTGTCAAGTCCAGAAGCTCTGGGCAAAGCAGGACGTGGTGGTGCACGCCTGTGATCCCAGCACTAGGAAGACTGAGGCAGGAGGATTGCGGTGAGCTGCAGGCCAGCCTGGGCTACAAGGTGAGACTCTGTGTCACAAAACAAAAAATAGCAAATGGAAGCGGCTCTGGGTGAACTGTGCCTGGGGACATTTCCAGGAAGGGAGCTCACAGCCTCACAGCGTCTGTGGGAGGAGACAGGTCCCCGCTAAAGTCCCCGCTAAGAACTGAGCCTTCTGCTTGTACAGACTAAAAAAGCAAATGGATTTTGCCTCAGAAGCTTCCAACACCTGGGGAGATAAGGCTTAAAGCACTGGGCCTGCGTGAACCCGGAGCTTGGGGCGGGGGAGCCATTCCTTTTCCTGCATGGAAGTTTGAGTTCAGTTTGTTCTCCATTCACTCGGAGACATCAGAGCACACTCCTGTTATACCGGCACTCTAGGGAGGCTGAGGTAGGAGCCCAGCCCGGACACTATGAATCTTGGTAAAACCCTGTCTCAAAAATAAATAATTAAAAGGGCTGGGGGTGTAGCCTTAGGTTCCATTCCCCACCACTCCTTTCTTTTTTTGTTTTGGGGGTTTTGTTGTGAGGCGGCTGTCTTGAGACAGGGTCTCAATATGTAGTTCAGGCTGGCCTTGAACCCACTGGGTAGCCCAGGCTGGCCTCCAACTCCAAAGGCCATCTCCTGCCTCAGCCTCCAGAGTGCTGTACTCAGAGGGACGTAGCTCAGGCACCGCACCCGCCTGGCAAGCACGAGGTCCTGAGTTTCATCCCCCATAGCAAGAAAACCCAGCTGAGGCGCCACACCAATGTGGGGGCCCGGAAGCCCCACGGGCCACCCTTACCTGAGTAGGTCCACTCGGAAGAGTGGGACCAGCACGGGGCCTGGGCCCACAGGAGGAGCAGGGACACTAGAGTCGCCAGGGTCCCCATGGCACTGAGGTCTGGAGCGGTGTGGGTGCCAGGACGGCTCTGCTTTTAAAGGCTCAGCAAGTGTAAATAACAATTTACAGCCCGTCCGTCCAGCTGGCTGATCTGCCCTGCCCTACGCCCACTGAACAACAACACCTCCCACAATGGTCCCTGTCAGTGGGCTCCATGTGCCAGGCGTGCCCTACCAATTAGCCGTGTCCCTGCCGGGCGGCCGGACCGCACCTGAGCCGCAGTGGTACAGAGCGGCCATTGTGGACGGCGGGGAGGAGGGGCCGGCAGGAAGCGGGGCTCCTGGTTGCTTCCTCTGCCCTTTCTGCCAGCTGTGTGGGGCATCCCGGGCTGTGCGGCCCCCCGGATCCCCACTGGCACTTCTGGCCTGGGACATGGCCTGGCCCCGGGTTCTGCGCAGGACTCGGGGTCCCAGTTGATCTGGGGTCCCAGAGGCAGACGCCCCGGCCTGGCCTCCCCGGTTTGCACCCACCGCTCTGGCACCTGTGCACAGGCGGGCACCCCTGGACACGTGATCGGGCTGTCTGCTGGGCCAGCGCGGGGACACGGGGCATTCAGACCGCTGGCAGCAGCGTCCCTGTCCTTCACGCAGGGAGAAAGGGCAGGCAGGGTTCCTGTGGGCACTTGCCACACCGTGGGGTGCCAAGGACCAGCCACGCTGGCAAACGGAGCCCAGCTGGAAGGGCATGCACTGCCCCCGCACCCAGCCTGACAGGGCGCGCGAGGTGTTGGAGCCCCCAAAAGCCCCGCGAGGCGTGCACCCCGGCAATCTTAGTACTCAGGAAGCTGAAGCAGGAGGATCGCTGTGAGTCCGAGGCCAGCCGTGGGAGGGGGATGACAGACCCACAAAGCTCACCAGCCCATAGGATGGCAAAGGGATCAAGGTCAAGAGCTGGGGTTCTGAAGCAGAACCACAGGGTTCTGACAGGGATCTGACCCAGCTCTGCCTGGCCGCGTGACCTTGAGCAAGTCGTCCAACTGCTCTGCGCCTCAGTGTCCCTGACTTCAGGAGTCCACGCTGCTGCCTCTTGAGGACTCGGCGGCAGGTTCATGTGTGGTGTTGCGGCCCCTTCCTGGGAGGACGAGAGAGCAACTGGCTCCGCCACCCTCCTGTCAGTGCGGGGACTTGAAGCACAGGTGGTCACAGGTCTGGAACTTCCCGTGTGGCAGAAAGCGCAGCCCCACACTCCCGTCTGCAGAAGGGGCCGCAGTGTAGACAGCACGAGGCCCGCCACGCAGAGGATGCTGGATGAGCCAGGGCCCGGCAGCCAAGGGGACACTTGATGTTTCCCCAGGGAATCTCTTGGGGGAAACTGAGGCAGGAGCAGCAGTGGGAGCACAGTGGGAAGGTTCTGAGGTGACAGAAGCCAGGGAGCCTGGGAGGAGCTGGGCCCGGGGAGGGAGGCCCTGGGGACTTAGCAGACATAGGAGTGAGTACTCTGGGACAGGAGCCCCAGGACAAGTGCTCCCCGCCGCCCAGCACTCACCAGCCTCCCGTCTCCCGTGGGCTTCTGCGGCTGGGGCTGGCATTTGGGGTTCCCAGGACAGCCCGGAACCCTCGAGCCTAAACACAGGCACCCCACAGTCCCCGGCAGACCCCTTGCTACCTGGCTGTCTGGCTGAGGCTGTACCCAGGATGCCCAAAACTGGTCAGCCAGTGCCAAGGAGGGTGCAGGAGGTCTGGCAAAATGGCGCATAGGAGGCTGAGGCAGGAGGATCACCATGATTTCCAGGCCAGCCTGGGCCACCTAGTGAGACCCTGCCTCAAAAACCTAAATAAATAAATAAGTGAGCAACTGAGCTGGGATGGCAGACCGACACCTGAGAATGAGGACAGGTCACCGCGGCCAAGGCTCCCGGCCCCCAGGGCGGCTTCCTTCCGGTGACATAATCCACACAGAATCAAGCAACGTCGAGCTTGTTGCCTAATGTCTGACTCATTGTCTTCTCTGACCTTCAAATTTTCCACTGGCTTCTTCCTTCTCCGTGTGAGGTGTGCTTGTTCCCTCGGGTGTGCGTGTGTGCGTGTGTGTGCGTGTGTGTGTGTGAGCACCCTCGAGTGTGGCACTTCGCACAGCCTCCCTCACCATCTTTGGCCACCCCAGCCCACACCGAGGCCAAATCCTGGCAGTGTGGTGGCCCTGGCTGCCCGAGGGTCAGGCGGGCAGGGGCTCTCCCTCCTCCCAGGGCAGGGCCACTGAGGCAGGGCAAGGGCGCCCGGGTAAACAGGGCAGCGGACACACGAGGACCAGCGGGGACAGCTGGGAGAGCCAACGCGACCTTTGGCGGACGGACGGCTGCCGCTGCTTCCCCTGGCGTCTGGCCCTCGCATGGGGGCCCACTGCGCACGGCACTTCTGGGCCTGGCTCGCTCGTGTGTAAACTCCGGAAGCGGCTGGGCACGGAGGTGCGTGCCTGTCATCCTGGCACTCGGGAGGCTGAAGCAGGACAATCACTGCAAGCTCAAAGCCAGCCTGGGCTTACGTGGTGAGACTGTCTCAAGAAACAAACAAACCGAAAAAGGTTCCGAGGGTGAATTTCACACTGTGTATAAGTCGCCACAACAAAGAGAAGTAATCACGAAAGACTGTGCATTCTTTTGAGAGCTTAACCAAAGACACGCATCCCAACACGCCTGTCCAGCACGGCCTGGAAGAGGCCAAAGGAAACTGCACCACTGTAGGAAAACGCTCGGGGTCAAAAACAAGCCTGTGACGTCAGACGGTCACGTTTCCCCAAACATTTAAAAACCAAATAATTCTAAACTTTAAAAAACTGTTAAAAACACAGTCCAGACAGAGGCAGGCAAACCACAGGCTGTGGGCCTGATCTTTACGTACCGTCTGGGTGGCTGGCACCCCAGCGGCGGCCCAGCGGTCACAAGAGAGGGTACAGATGGCAGAAACTCCGTGTTTACCACCTGCCTCTCAGGGCACAGCTGCCAAAAAAACACACTCGCCAGCTCATTTTCTGAGGCAACTGTATCTTTTATTCTTTCTACTCTTTCTTTCTTTCTTTCTTTTATTTTGAGACAATCTCTCTAGGTATCTCAGGCTGGCCCAGAACTTATGGAGATCCTCCTGCCTCAGCCTCCCAAGGACTGGGATTATAGGCAAGCCCTACCACATCCTGCTGACTACTGTATGTTTGAGACCAAAATCTAACAAGGATTGCAGAAAAAATAAAAATTATCAGTCAGTACCATGGATGAACTTAAATATTAAAATTTTTAAGGAAAATAAGAATAAATGAAAGAGTACTCTTCCTGGTTTGCAGTTCATATTTGTGAGACATTTTTGGTCTCTTACATGAATGTCACTGTTTGTTTTCTTTTCTCTTTCTCACCTCCTTTCCTTCTTTCCTTCCTTCTTTTGACTATTGAGCTACATCTCCAGCACTCTTTTAAAATTCCTTTTTTGGCCAGGCTTGGTGGCGCACACCCATACTCTCAGCACTCAGGAGGCTGAGGCAGGAAGATCGCTGTGAGTTTGAGACCAGCCTGGGCTACATAGTGAGTTCCAGGTCAGTCTCAACTACATAGTGAGACCCTGTCTCAAAAAAAAAAAAAAAATAATAATAATAATTTAAAAATTCATTTTTTATTTTTAAAAATTTATTTTTTATTGTGGGACAGGGTCTCACTTGTGATCCTCCCGTAGCTGGGATTGTAGGTGTGCGCCCCAAGCCCACCTAATGCCATTTTTGTCGGTGATCAACCTTTTCAACTCACACTCACCTGGGAAAGACATCAAAGCTGCCTAAACTGTTCCACTTAGCTCTTTAAACCAAGAGAAGCCAAATCACTCAATTTTAGCTTCAGGGTTTTCTTTGTTAGAAAAACAAACAAGTGGAGATCAGGAAAGCTTAGCAACATCACAACTCCTCTCTAAAATCAGATGTGATGCCTGGAGCTGTGCAGCTATCTTGTGACCATGAAGATAAGAAGCCAGTATGCTAAAGATGGCAGAGCAGAATGAGTCCTCCTGGAGCAGCTCACACAGCGCTGTTCACCACCCCCACACTCCCTGGTGGCATCTGGAAGTGGCCCGCAGGTCGCATCAACACGTAGACAACGTTCCAGTCACTTTTCCCAGTGCCTCTTGAACTCGGCTCACTCTGGAGGAAACACATACTAAAATCAGCAGCCTCCGCAGCCCAGCGTGGCGGTGCACACCTATAATCCCAGCTCTCAGGAGGCTGATACGGGAGGATCATTGCCAGTTCGAGGCCAGCCTGAGCTAAGAGCAAGACCCTGTCTCAAAAAAACGAACAACTAAATAAATAAAACAAACACCAAACCCTAAAAGTCGACGCCCTTCTTGATGGCGTGTTCACGGCCAGGCTGAGCCCAGAGGCGGTGCAGGGCTGAAGATCTCGGAATCACACAAATAACAACAGGATGACCTGGAAGGGGGCTCAGGAGGTGAACGCAAGGCGGTGACAGTGCCTCCTACTGTTGCTGTCGGGCCCAGGGTCCCGGGTGTCCTGCTCCTCCTCGCTCAGAGCCTTGAGAAGAAACCCAAGGACGTTTCTCCTTTCTTTTTTGCCTAAATTACTTTTCTCGTTGCTGAGAAAAAATACAAACACTCAGAGTTAAAGGAGGAGAGGTTTATTCAGCTCACAGCCTGCAGAGGTTCCAGAGGGCAGAGGAGAAACAGTCCTTAGCGCCCACAGAGTAGCAAAAGCACCAAGGAGAAGACGAACCTCTTCTGCCCCGTCTGTCTTATCCAGGCTGCTTAGAGCGGGCAGCACTCATACCCTTCATCCCAGTGCCCTCGGGCCCAGCACTGCACCACGAATCAACCCCAGCATCACACACTGTAGATGCAGCCGCCTCCGGGATGGCCCTAAGACTGCATGAGGCTTTGGGGGGACGTCGAGACACAAACCACAATATTCATTATTTTTTGTTTTGTGTGTGTGGTTTTTTTGTTTTTGTTTTTGTTTTTGTTTTATGCTGAGGATGAACCCAGGGCCTTTGAGCTGAACTACATTCCAGCCCTTTTTTGCTTTTTATTTTGTGACAGGATCTGGCTAAATTAGTTGCCCAGGCTGCACTCAGACTTGTGATCCTCCTGCCTCAGCCTCCGGGAGGACTGGGATCACAGTGCGTGCGGCCTTATTTTAGGTCGTCCACGGCTCTGTTGAAGCCTCCGGGGAAGCACAACCTGGAGGCTGGCCCTGCACGTCTGCCCACGTTGTCCTCACACTGGCTTCTCTGTGCCTCCAAAACCCCCTCTCACCTTCCCTCTCGTAGGCCCCCGCCGCTGCGTGGCTCGCGCCTGACACCCAGTGGCCAGAAAGGGGAGTGCAGGATGCGACTGTTGGGGTTTTCATTTCGTGAGTAGCCTGAGATCCCAGAAGGCTGAGGCCGGAGGGTCGCCAGTGAGAGCCCAGAACGGACAATTTAGGGAGACCCTGCCTCCGACTAAAAGGTAAAAAAGTTGGCAGGGGATTTGGCTCAGTGGTTCCACCGCCTGCCTCGCAAGCCCAAGGACCCAAGTTTGATCCCTGGCACACACACACACACACACACACACACACACACAAAAGATCAGGATCAGCTCAGTCCAAAGGCTCTAGGTTCAACTCCCAGCACCCCCACCCCAAGATCCAGGGAAGACCCCGGAGGTTGCCGGGATTTGTGAGAAATCCTCGCCTCACACTGCCCAGTGCTCCTTCACAGAGAAAGCAGTAAAAAGCATTCTACAAGGGGCTTGGGGTGCAGCGTCCCGGCACAGCGTGTGCTTACGCTGGGTCCCATGCCCAGTACCAAAAGCAGTTGATTGAGGTGAAATTAGCACAGTAGAATTTTAACTGGGCTTCATTTTGTCATGGAGCTGATACTGGGGGTTGAACCCAGGGCACTTGCATTGAGTGACATCCCAGCCATTTACGTTTTTATTGATGTCTTTTTTGAGACAGAGTCTCTCTGTACATTTCATTCTGGTCTTGAACTCACTATGGAGCCCAGGCTGGCCTCGAACTCTGGGCGATTCTCCCGCCTCAGCCTCCCCAGTGCCGGAATTGCAGGTGTGCACCACGACACCCAG